GTCAGAAGTAATATTGTGATTTATTATTGTAATATTTGTTCATAGACCTTAGTTGTAATATTGGTTAAATGTTAGTGTTAGAATAAATAATTCTCGAATCGCCAAACTGCGTTCTGGCTTTTGCGTCCGTTTGTACTAAGCGTTTCTGAGAAGCTTCGAGGGACAGCGTGAGTCCCAGCGTAGCAAGAGCTGGGCATTAACGGTTTACGAGAGGAGACTGACATTCTTTTCAATCATTGAAGCTGTTCCGAATCTTTGACGCAGTATAATCGTAGCCTCAATGTATCTTTCGTTCACGGGAACAACCTTACAGCACTGTATAGCTCTTGAAGCGTCTCCAGTGCAATATCTCAATAAATACATTAACTTGATTTCCTCATTTATTAGAAAACCACCCAATTCGACCTCAGACTCTGTGACAAACTGTGGATGAACAGCTGGGTTTCCGCCGAATCACCGAGGCTCGAACTTAGGCAGTTTAAAATTCCTATTATCTCCAGACGGCGGACCATGAACAACAGACTCATCATGCTGAGCATTATACATATCATTACAATAAACAAGCAACTCAGCATTGCTTACTTTCCCGTCTGCTTCCAAGACGCTTTGTCCCTTCTTTGACCTAGACATCACTAAACTTGACCAAACAGTCCAGTAAAGTTCCAGATAACATTTGTCCAAAGAAGACGGGCAGACACGAGGAAAGACGAACAGAAACTATCCAAAACTATCAGAAACTGTCAACCAACTCTCATAAACTGTCGATGTCTAGGTCTCAGTACACTGGACCTCACGCTGTTCCTGGAGGACTTTCAGAAACCATTTGTATTAACCAACGAGAAAACCAAAACACTGATTGGCGACTCGAGAATCCTTTATTCCTTCGCCAATATGTAACCAACAATAAGGTTATTATACACAAGGTCTACGAATAAATGTTATAACAATAAATCACGATAATACTTCTGATAGTTTTCTCTCTTTCACCGAACAGCGAACGATGAGACGACGTTTGCCGTATTGATGACTCCCGTGAAAAATATGGAGTTGGGTTTGAGCAAACAACCATGAATTGATTCTTGAATCGTCAACTGCATTGAAAGCATATATCATTGATATATAGTGCAAATAGGAGGGGTCCAATGACACTACCTTGTACTACACCAGAATTGATTGGGCTAGGTTTGGAAGTTACAGACCCGAGTTTAATTATTTGGCACCTTTTGTTAATGTATGATTTAAGCCATCCTAATGATGGGTCACGTATTCCTAAGGAGTTCAGCCTGTGTATTAGCAGTAAATGGTCGACACGGTCAAATGCCTTAGAAATGTCAAAGTAGATGATAAGTGCTAGTTGCCGTCTGTCACGACTGCTGGTCGCAAACTTAAAGAAGTCTGGGTGGCATGCTAAACAAGATCTGGATTTTAGGGATTCATGTTGGTTCGGAATTATAATGTGGCAGCCAGGCATATGTTTGATCAGGTTATCTTTAACTAGTCTCTCCATTATTCTAGATGCGATAGGTGTGATATTGATCGGCCGGTAGTTACCGAAATCTGTTTTCGAGCCAGATTTGTGTTTAAGCATATATATATCAGGGCAAGTTTGGGTTTCTAGGGACGTTGTGAATATTTTAAGCAGCAGTAGAGGAATGTCAGGGCCACCATCTTTATAAAAATAGGATGACATACCGTCAGTACCAAAACCTTTTGAACTTTTGAGGGTTCTTATAGTTTGGTTAATATTAGTGTAATTGAATTCAACAGTGCTAACTTGGTTTGGTGTGAGTGCAGACGGAGTTTGTGCCATATTAGTAGCAGGGTGTATATCAAGTAACTGGACTGAGGGCTTAAGGTAGTTACTTGCAAACGTTTTGTTGAATAGTTCACATATGTGTGCAGAGTTAGTGCACAGCCCATCTTTGTCTATGAGGAGAGAAGTGCTGTGATTTTTGCGATTCATTCGCTTCCTTAAGATTTCTGTGAGTGCATACACTCCAGCAGGACTGGCTACTGCGGTGCGTTCTTCATTCCTCATACGGAAATCTCCAGCCTGTGAGATGGAGCTAAGGGTGTTAAGTATTAGACCTAGAGTGCCAAAGTCGTGGTGTTTGAAGTAACTTGTTGAGAGTCTCTTCAGTTTCATACGATCCTTTGGTTTTTTGAATGACTTTCTATGTGAGAAAACCTTTAGTGTTTGGAGTGGGATAAAAGCATCTAAGCACGTGTTTGAGTTATGGTATAAGATGGTTAGGGCTCTCGGGAGGTCATCAGTAGTGAAGTATTCATCCCATTTGGAGGATCTTAGCATCGACTCAACTAAGGCCCAGTTTGCCTTACCATAGTTCCTATATTTTACTTGTTGTGAAGTGGAGATATGAGCTGCATTGCTACTCAGTGGAAGTGGCAGTTCACGCATCACTGTTTTCTGGTCGCTCCCTGAAAACTCAGAGCGTACTAGGGTTGAAATGGGACTTATATTGTGGCAGAAGATTAAGTCTAGTACGTTATTACCTCTTGTGGGTGCAGTGACAGTTTGTTTCCAGCCAAGTATATCCAGTGTGCCAAAGAACTTATCAAATTTAGTTGGGCTCTTGTGTATATCTTTGAGCTTGGTATAAGACAGAGAGGAGATAATACCAAGAACTCCTCTTTGCTGATGGCAAACAGATATATCAGCGCCAGAAGTGCTGTGCGCAGCCTGATGATTGATAAAACTGTGATGGCTATGGACCTTCAAATGTTGGCGTTATAGACGTCCGTGAACAGTACTGGGTATATTAACGCAAGCTCTTATACCAACAACTTCTATTTTATTTTATTCTCGCGTACCAAAGGCAAAGCAAAAGACTACAACCGGTTGTCCAAATTACGATATATATTTCGGAACCAACTCGCGGATTGAAGGGGAAGCTGAGCTAGCTAGTTATCATGCACGACAGTGACACGACGGAGTACCAAATGGCGGGGATGCTTGACCGAAATCCTTCAGCTAGAGCACCACCTAATTATATGAAGCCGGAACAAATGAATGGAGTATTTATTTAAGACATTATAGGGGCATTAACTGAGACCAGGTGTTGGAAATATGCAACTTAGTTATGACAGGATATTTCTCAAAATGATACAAGGTCGTAACCCCTGAACGAACTGATGCTCGCAATCTAGCGGAAGGTATGTCTTCCGGTCGGTTGAACCACTGAAGTACACCAGAAAATCTATATTCTGACGAATGAACAAATTTTAGAAGCGTTTTTTCAGTGCGATGAGCCACTTTTTCCGAATTCGTATGTCTATAACGACGTTATATCATCCCAGGGGCAACGGGCTACTAAAGCGTAGCAATGGGACTTTTATGTCGTTACGACGAGGAGTTTTAGTTGGGGAACAAGAGGCAGCATGAGAAACCTTGTCTCTAGGATGCCCGTTAGCTTAGAGAGCGAGTACAAATACATTTGGAAACATGACACCTATTGGGGACTGGCCTTGAGTTGCTCCTTCCTAGCGATCCGGTAGCCATGCTACATTAGGATGACCTACTTACTATCATGAAAGTGGTGGTAGGACTGTGAGGAGAAAGTCAAGTACCATAGTTATGCGCTCGAAGAACTTGAGGGAGTGAGGCGGAGACAGAAACAGTACCATGATAAGCAGAAGTAGGGAGCACACTTAAAGAGAGTTGACAGTATGGGTTTGACAACCAGGGACTGACAACAAGGGTCGAAGTAAACCTGAAGTACATCGGTCAGGCCCATTTACTCTGTACACAATTTTTTCAGCCTGGCATTTGTCTATATGGCCCACACATTCCCTTGACCCTTTTACTCCCTAGAAGTATTATTTTTCGGCTCATTTTCAGACTACTTAGTGCACTGCCAGGTAAAGTGATGACTCACAGTCTCAGCAGCAGCGCATCCCTAGAATGTACCAAATATTCGCATCGAGATAATTCGGTGCCCATTTGTGACTGTACTTCGCAAAGCCGCAATAGCTTATAAGGTGTGTATGCAGTGGTATCCCTTAACGATATGGAACTTTCCAAAAGAGGACTTTGAAGATAGCTCCAAGAGGTAATTGGATCAGTGCCCGCATGAAATATATGAATGTTGGACTCCTTGTCAGACAACGAAGATGGCAACACTTAAATCATAGCACTAAACAACTGTAAATCACGTCTCAAAACCGTTAATGCCCAGCTCTTGCTACGCTGGGACTCACGCTGTCCCTCGAAGCCTTTCAGAAACTCTAGTACTAACGGACTCAAAAACCAAAAAACCGATTGGCGACTCGAGAATTCTTTATTCTAACACCAACATATAACCATCGTAATAACTAAGGTCTATGAACAAATATTACAATAATAAATCACAATATTACTTCTGACGGTTTTCTCCTGACTTCTTTCTGAACAGCGACCAATGAGACGATGACTGGTGTATTGATGCCTCCACGAAAATATAGGGAATTTGGGTTTGAGCAAACAACCGTGAATTGATCGTTCAATCTTCAACTACACTGACAACAGCAATATACTGAAGCGACCACTTGCAAATAACTTATAAGACAAACACTAACCTTAACAAATTATTGACTGAAATGAACACTGGTGTGAACCAGGGGTCTGCAGCCCTACTTGAATACCGAAAATGCCAGAGATATGAGATCGATTCATTTACGACAGATCCAGTATCCTATATCCGATATCCCTTTTACTGGCTAGTGTAGACCGAATTCATTCCTTTTGGCTCGCTCCTTATTTGTAAGATAAAGTTCCCTGACTATCATTGCTTTGGTTGACTCTAGGGGGAGCATCTCGGAGTTTGACTATATTTGGGATGTAATATGCATTGTATTAAGACCGTTTAACTGCTGTGAACGGATTTAATTCACTTCCCAGCTAGTCATTCGGTGTGGTTGAGAGGGAGGTTTTATAATTATAGCACCTGCGAGTACGCAAACCATTATGTGTACGGTTAGGATATTTTGATATAATGCATTCAGGTTAGAACTTATTGTTTACAAGTAGGTCGGGTGTGTTGTTTCTCTTTACCGTTTGATATTACAGAGGGATATTGGTATCTTCAAGGACGTTGGAAGGTTCGCTTGGTTGTAGTTATGATCTTAACTTTTTGCCAGTTGTAGTCGGGCTGTCGGGGTAAGATCTGTTCCTCCAACGGGGAAGAGTCGTTTTGAGTGTTTTTATTGTTATTGTGCCAACAACATTTAGTGATAATCGTGTTGGCTGGCGAAACTTCCATCCCAATTCTGGTTTTTTGTTCTCAGTCGGTTCAGTAGTGTATTTTTTCATTTCCCATTCCTTGCATTGTCTACTTAGTTTCCATGCTTTGTGTGATCTTTTACTTTGTAAATTGAATAAGTATACTGGCTACATGGATACTAAGGTGGTCTCAGGTCATTTCCAGTTCACAAGGGTACTTGTTAGGAGTAGAGTTGTTAACGATTCGCTTGGTGTAGTCCGAAGATATGGAATGTGTCTATGACTGACGTTCTACTAATTGAATAGTCAAAGAATCACTGATTTATTTGTCAGTCATGTCATTCACCATGATGGAGGAAGAAAGCGCTACTGATCTCACAACTATTTCACGTAATATTCCAGTGTGGATCAGCTGGTGGGTTGTTTACTGAGACTGGATGAAAGGATGTTTCCATTTGTAGATATACTTCTTTAATTCATTTATGATTAGTTAACTAATACATTTTAAGTATCATGGACTGTGGTTGGCTGTGATTATTTTTGTCACCAAGTGTATGTGGTCACTGATATTATTTGCACGGTAAGGAAGAGTGTACTCGTCAGCTTGTTTTTTTAGGCATTCAGTAGCCGTTTTCCGGTCAGAATATTAGCACCATAGCAAAAGAGTTGGATTTAGAGTTAGTGTTTACCATTAAGTTGGTTATCCGAACAGGGTTTCTCCTTGAAGTTCACTTTTGGGGTTGACGTTGCACTTTTGTTTAAAGTTTGTCAGATATGTCGAGATTTCGGGTAGTCCCACTGGACTGGTGAAAATCATTGATTGTCCTAGTATATAAAAAGGGATACAAATCTTCCTGTGATAATCATATGGCGACCAGCTTGACTAATTTAGTATTTAAATTTGTGGGTTCAGTAGTCTTATGTAAGCGAAGAGATAGAAATCCTAGTATGCTCATTATGCAATTCGTCGCTGTCAAATGAAAGATGATCCTGCAGTATCCGGTGTGTAAGAAGGCTCTTCTAGAATTTGCCGACTCAAGTCGTTCCTGGTGTTATTGCCATTTCCAGCTAATTGTCAAAGCCAATGTGTTTACTGCGCAGCAGCCCTCTCCGTCATTCTTTATGTCTGTGGGATGGAAGTGGTGCACAGCAAAGCTTGTTGAGCAATTCTATCTGGTCCTCAATTGGAATAGACAGCAGTTCGGGTCGGTCAAGCCAAAATACGGTGTCAGTCCATGAGGCTTTCGACTATTGGTTTGAGCCACTTGAGAAGGGGGGGATTAATCGGTTGAGGTCTTCAAGACTCTAAGGCCTAATAACTGGAGACTGTTGATGACCTAAATGCATCCATTTCTAATGAACTCATAGATTTCAGATTTATTGGCTGAGGCTGTGGTTGTCCAAACCCTTCTAAATGAATCAGTTGAGGTTGCAGACAGTACTTCTTCTGGCAGTCGGTTCCAAGATTTTATGACTCTGTGTGAAAACCAGTGCTCAACAGCAGTATGATTTCTTCTTGGCTTTTGAACTCTCCTACTATGTCCTCCGAGGTGTTCCGACCTGTTGGGAAGGAAAAGAGAGAATAGGTCAGGTCCGTAGTGATTATTTAAAATTTTAAACGTTGTGATTAAATCTCCTCTCTGCCTACGTTATGACAGGGAGAAGAGATTTCAACTGTCTAGTTGTTACTTGTGTGGTAAGTTAGTCATGCCGAGAACCATACGTGTTGTCTTCCTTTGAACCCTTTCTAGAATGTGTGAGTCCCCTTTAAGATAAGGACTGGCTGCCTGGATACAGTTTTCTAGTCTTGACCTCACCAGAGATGTATATAAGGAGGCGAACATATCTCTGGTGTTTCTAGAAAAGGCCCTGAAAATCGCCCATAAAGATCTAAAACTACGTGCAGCCACCGCGCGACAGTGCGCTGTAGTTTTTAAATCGTTGCTAAGTATGACACTTAAATCAAAGTGAGTCTGAACCGGTGAGAGTTTTGTTCACTCTAGTCCGCAGAGTCTGATACTTGCGTGTCCGATGCGCATGGTTGCATATTTCTCTGTATTGATCGGAAGCATCCTCTGAACCAATGTGACAATTTATTGAGGTCTCCTTGCAACTTGAGTGTATCACTGCCGCCCTTCAGCTATCCCCAGGTTTTTAAGTCATCTGCGTATAGGACCACATGGGAATGGGTGGGCAGAGATAACTCGTTGATATACAAAATAAATAGGAGAGGTCCGAGTACCGTGCCTTGTGGTACTCCGCTGTGCACTGCTGTCCAGGTGGAGAGTTTCGGGTTGGTCCCGACCCTATGCCTCCTATTTATGAGGAATTCCCTGAGCCAGTTTAGTAATCTGCTTTTGATACCAGGATTTTCCAACTTTATGAGTAGTCTTTTGTGAGGAGCTTTATCAAAGGCTTTTCTGAAGTCTATGAAGACGACGTCAACGGGTCTTCTGTTGTCTCTTGATTTGACCCAGCTTTCTCTTGTAGTGAGGATATTTGACAGATATGAGAGGTTTCTTCGGGAGCCGTGCTGTGATCTGGATAACATTTTGTTGTTTTCCAGATATGCCATGACACTTTTCTTAATGATTCTTTCCAGTGTCTTGATTAAAGTGCTGGTGAGGCTAATAGGCCTGTAACTTGTAGGGCTGTCTTGATCCTACTTTGTGGGTGATATTAATATGGCGTCTTTCTAGTCACGTGGTAACACTCCATTTAGGAGAGATGGCCTGAAGATCGTGGTCAATGGGCCGGCTATGTGAGCTGATAGCTCCTTGAGAAGCCTTAGCTGAAGATTATCAAGACCCATTGATTTCCCTGCATCTAGTTTCGTTAGGCAGTTGAGTACGATGTTTTAGTCGATGTCAACGGAATCTATCCCGTATTCCTCTGATGCAACCAGAGTTGATCCTATAGGGAGTGATGACTCCTGTGTAAAGACTTGGGAGAAGTAGTCTGCCACTGTTTCTGATTTTTCTTTGTCTGTTTTGATTGTCATTGTGAATAGTCAGGTATGGGACTCCACTAGATATCTTATTCCTGAAGTTCATGTACGAGAAAATTTTCTTAGGTTGTGCTGACTCCGGCTCTAGTTTTAACAGTATACTGATGTTGTAATATTAATTGTAATTCGTTATTTCATATTAATCCTGCATCCAGGGGTTCGGGTTAGTATTCCTTAACTGGTAGCTTAATAATGCTTTTGTTGATGCGTGTTTTGTTATGTATGCCGTGATAATAGTCGTGTGATAATCTTTTTAGCAGGATTGTTCACACAACCTAGTTCAGTTGTCGTTTTGGTATGGTCCGGAGATTTGATCAATAACTTGAGCATTTGTGTTCTATAACTGATAAGTAGTGGACATATATTGAGCTTTACTTCTGGATACCTAGGTAATATCACAATTTTTTTTCACATTAATGTGGCCAATAGTCTACTTGCATTTCATCCTCTCACATTCCTTGTCTTACATTTGTTTTCTAATTCGCAGGTCGTAGTTGCATCACTTTTGATGAGATTTCAGCCGTTTTTGTTACTTCTGTCAGTAACCAATGTTCCTTGAAAAATCTTTGATGAATTGATAAATCCATGGACACATTCCTTCGAATTAGTGGCTTGTAGTCAACCTAAGCACTATGCATCGAGTTTCAGATGTTCCAGTTGTCGTCTTCAATCCACATTTGACGTGTAGTTTGTGCAAAGGATACTTAATCGATGCTACAACAGTTGTTGAGTGTCTTCACTCTTTCTGTCGTAGTTGCATTTTAACGTATCTTCAGCATAAAACGACATGTCCAGTTTGTGAAACACTTCTACACAAAACCAAACCACACTATGCCATTCGTCCTGATCGTGCTTTGCAGGCTATTGTTTACAAACTTATTCCAAATCTTTTCGAAAAAGAAATGTTGTCCAGGAGAAAATTTTATGAAGGTGAGTGTACTGTGGCTTTGTTTTGATAGGGTTAGCTAACTTCTAGAGTCTCGGTCGTGTTGTTAATCCCCCCGCTTCCTCAAAAAATCAAAAGGGTGAATCTGAACTTCTGGCGCTTACATCCGGGCCGGTGTACATAGTGGTCTACCTAGGGAAGCTGGAAAACCATGATTCCGAACCTATGATGTACATGGGCTCCAGTATCGCAAAGCATAAAATCGCCTGCACATCTGTTTTGGCCACTGTAGACCGTAAGAACGTAGTTTTTGATGCTGCTCCACTGTGTCGTGGATCAGACTTCAAGTCAAAGTTCGGGGATGATCCCTTAAAACAGCCACCTACTTCGGTCCGGGCATGTAGGCAGTATACTGACCCTCGCACACACTATGAGATTTCGTGTGGCACATCTCTTGGTGCCCATAGTTAACCAAGGTTGTGTTTTTATAATAACGATGATATGTTAATCTTTGCTAGCATATTATCTAGTATACTAATAATCTTATGCCACGTTAATTATGTGATACTGAACTCTTGCTTATTACTTGAGCATATTTGATTCAATGCATACATTCCCCTCGTGGGTTATGCTTTGTGTTTTTGAACGGGACATACTCTGAATTACTTTCATGATGGTTCACACTATTCACATTTTGCGTAATTTTATGCAAATTATGCGAATCGCCACTGTAGTTCTCGGTGTGTGTGCATAGCTTGTGTGCAAATCAGCTGATTTTAAAATTCTATTTTTACTTGTTTATTATGGGAAACTTCAAATGAGGTTTTGTAAGTTGCGTTTTGTGAAGAATAACGATACAACTTGGTTGCTTCAATGTCAATAGGTAAAACAGACTTCCATGTTACAGGATTTCATCATGAGCTGACATCAGTTAGAGAACCATTGGAAAACCTGGGAGTATTGGACAGCTGTCTCGTCTTAGTTTGGGACTCTTCATCAGTATGCACCCGCTGGGATTCGGAACCAGGACCTTCTGGTTACAAGGCGAGCTCGTAGACCATTAAGCCACTGGGATTCGATCCAATGGCCCTCCCATGAACTCTAACTTCTGCCAATTCACGACATAGCGCGACCTCTAGCCAATGTATTCGGCGAGTATTTGTCCTCACACCCGACCTGCTGCACATAATATAATATAGCTTTAACTTTGTAACAGAATCTGCACTGTTGCATATGAAAATTCAGTAATTTAACCTTCATCGCATTGTGTAAGTAATGTGAACTTTTCCACTCCCCCTGTTATTACAACACTTGTTTCTTCTATGAACTTAACTCAGTGGAGTTGTTTGGCTTATCGGCTCAAGCACTCAGCCTGTGGGTCACATGTTCGAGTCTCGCCTTATCTAATTCAACTGGGTAGTGTCATCAGACCTCACACGATAGGTGTGGTTCTTAGCCTGGTACATGAAAAATCTGCCCTTGTTAAGAGCTTAGACCAGCCGTAAACTTACCTCTTTTTCTGCCGTCTTGATAAATCCCTTCTTTGATTATATCCAGATTGTGTATTGTAATAAAGACTGTAATACTTAGTTGAGATTATGATGGATTCAATTTTCTGTTGTCACTCATGTGGAGTAGAATAGTGTTCTTTCCAGTGTAGTGTGTGTATTTGGCAGTAAGGCAGCTTCCTTAGAACTGCATATCTACAATTGACATTCTGTCTACAATTATTCTTAGTATTTTATTACTATTATTTTCATGCTTTCTGATTTTTGACTTTTCAGCTCATCCTTCCCTTCATAGTCGTTCACTTAGTCCTGAAAAGCGAGGTGATATATCAATTAATACTTATGTGCTTCCAGAAGAAGATCGTCTAAGTATTGAACTTCGATACTGGGATCAAAATGAAGATAACATTGATGATTCTGGTAGTAAATTTTCCAGCCAGTCTGATTTATCTATTCTCCCTCCTGTTCAACCTACATTTTTACTTTGTCCACCTGAACTTACAGTGGGACATATTGAAAAGCTTATTCGAATGAAGTTCAACTTGAAGCCGAGTGAGCATGATGTTTCCGTATTTTTTTCAGCTGATGATCTCTTTAATCCTGATCACACATTATCAGATCTAGCTTGCCTTTATGCTTGGCGTCGTCAACAACCCTTTAAATTGTATTTTACAATCAAACAAGCTACAAAAAATGAGTCTCCTGTTTTGATTGGACCTCAGTCCCCGACGAAAGTGGGTAATCTCAGTGAAGAGGGCATGGATAAATCTAATCTGCTTAACCAAAATACTAATTCTTGTTCTCTTAAACAGAAATCTAAAAATCTACCTGTGAATCCTGTACGCAAAAAACATGTGGACAATCATGATTTTGAGGCAAGCAATCATCCTTCTGAAACCTCTGTCTCCAATTCACAAACCTCGACAAAATCATCTTGTAAAATATCACTTCCTACTCAATTTATGAAGTCAATCAGCTTATCATCTCCAATGTTAAATACTCCAAACTCTGTTTGCTCGTCTTTAGCATAAATTATATATATATTTTTAAACACTATGTAACTAGTCATCTGACTTTTTATCTCATGAGCATTTAGTATTTCACAACACATACAAAGGACTTTCAGGTTCACGTCTTCAAAACTCATCAAAACTTACTCATGATCTCTGTACTTTAATTTCATTGGTAATACTGGTCAGAAGCTAGAATAATATTCTCAACATGTGTACATTTGTTTGCTAAGTTTTTTTTTCAGTGACGTTGTTGCTACATATTGTAAATTTGTTTTGTTTTGGTTTCATTTTAATTTTTGTTTAAATCAGAAGCTACCAACTTTTAAGCTGACTTTGTGTAATTTTTTGCAGTATTCATATTATCGACTGGAAAAATTACATTAAAATTGTTGCCACTGTTTATTTTCAACTATTATTTGATGGTGTTTGCAATACTAATGCAGTTTGTTTTAAAAATATTTAATTCATGATTCCATGTTTGTACAATGCGCAACGATCCAGTATTTCCTGCTTTATGACTTTGAGGGAGATCATTAAGAGTGGAAGATATTAAAGTGTTAGCTGTCTCCGACCACAGGTGTTTTGCGTTCTGTTTCCCTTGTTAAATGGTATAATACTGTGAGTAACATCAAGGTTAGGCATCAAGTGCTACCTAAGAAGAGAGTAGGTGAAACGATGAAGTTATGAAGCTGCATCGATCAACATGGCCAGGATACGTGTAACTCATGCCTAGCCACTGATTTTCTTAATGAGCAATGCTAGTTGAATTAAAACCTGAAATCAGTCCATGAATTCTTTGATAGTTGGTTTCAGTTAGCTACATGGGGAGGTGTGGACTACGTGGTTGGGGTCCTCAAGAAACTACGAACTAGTGGTTGGAGAATACTGGTTGTGATATATTTCTGAAAATCGTTGTCAGATACATTCATTATCTGTAATTTTCCACATCCATAGTCAGTGACACAGCGGTGGGATGGTCGTTAATCACGCCTCATGTGGTCCGAGGTTTGATATCCGGCTGGCGCATTGTCTTACCTTGCTAAGCCAGTAGTGAAATTGGTAAAGAGGAAAGGTTGGGCATGGGGCTAGCAACCCCATCCCGTGAAAAAAAAGCACCGCTGCCACTGAAATTTCAAGTCTAGTTTGAAGTCCTATGTTCTTCTGCGAACGTGAAGGAATAAAAAAATAAACCCGGATGGTTTTCCCTTTTACTATTCCCCCCCCCCACATGTTAACTCATTATAATTCTTTTGGTTCTCTTTTTTCTCTACTTTTGTGTCAACTTAAACTGGTGCACTTCTGTGTTGAAACTCAGTCATTCAGACAATCGGAATGAATTTTTGGACGTAAATTATTTACATTTCATCCATAATGGCTTCACCTAAAATAATCGTTGATTAGATAATAAGAATAATCACATTATTATTATTACTTTTAGGTAATTTCTGTTAGACTGAGAACTGTAAATGGAGATTTATTTGTATCTAGGGCAAGTGTTCTTTCGATTTTTATTGTGTAAGAAAGGTAGGTTTGGTAACTATGAGGTTGAAAGCATCTACCACCATACTATAAGTAGTTTTCGATGTCGAAACATTCTTCAGGGAAAGTAGTGCTGCTGGTGTAAACGCGGGTGTATTGGCCGTAAGATGTTTCTTTGGACGATCAGCAAGTCAGCTATAATGCCTTTTCGTTCTGGGGAGTAGAGATTAGTCAAAGTCATCCCTAGAAATTCTACATCCCGAATGACCATATGGCAGTTTATGTTAAAAGCAACTGGTATATCTTAAGATTAATAACTTCGTGATTAGCCTTGTGACATCGGAATTACATCAGTAAACTTTTATAAACTGTCTTGTTGAATGCAATATACGACAGGGATCAAGTAAAGAGAATTTAAATTCGACTCCATGTATACTGCTTTCTACACATGACAGCTCTAAGCACATGTAATATACCCCGGCCGACAACTGCTACCTTGCCGTGGTGGTCGGGCTTGAATACCGCAATGACCAAACAAGCTAAACTCACTGGGACTCATGTCCCTACAGGTCCTACCATTTCAGGAAGGTTTTCTGGATAGCGGTTAGACTAAAAGCAGTTACCATGGAATACATGGGCACCAGAATCCAAAGGAATCAAATGGGGAATGAACCCATATGGGTCACCGGAAACCATGGGAATCAGCTCCTGACGCTGCTCCGCTGCCTTGCAGATTAGATTCCAAGTCAAAGATTGGGGGGTGGTCCCTTAAGAAAACCACCTGCTTCGGTCTGGGTGCCCGGGCAGTATCTCAGCCCTCACACAATGAATGAATGAATTAAAGCAACGAACTCTCATTGAAACTCAACGCGCGCTATTAACAATGATTTCAAGCAATATTGATCCCCAAGGAACTTATTTCCTTCCTACCTTACTTTTATTTTTATACATAGTTTCCTGTATTTACCTTTGCTAAACTTGACTTCTTAACCTTCGACAGCCTTTCGCCTTTGTCGAGATTCCCAGCCTATCTGTGTCGTTTCGAGATGTTAGTGAGTAGTCCTCTAAATGGTTGTCCCCAATGTGACATCTAACACAGATATCCTGAAACCGCGTGCTGCGTTCAAGCTGGCCACCTACAATGTTCGGACGCTGATGCAAATCGGACAACAGGCAGGGTTGGCAAGAACTTTGGAAAGCCTCGCTATCGATGTCTGCTGCATTTCGGAGACCCGCATTCAAGATCCCAGTGAAGTGCTTCGACTATCCTCTCCATCTGGAAGTTCTAGTAGTATGTACCACCTGCGCTTATCCGGGGACCCTGTGGCGTCGGCATCCGGCGTAGCTGGTGTCGGTGTCGCACTGAGCGCTAGAGCCGAAGCTGCACTGCTCGACTGGATTCCCATTAACAGTCGTTTATGTGCTGTGAGGAGTAGTAGGCCAGATAGGCGGTGTCTATTTGTTGTCTCTGCCTATGCACCGACGGATTGCAGCCCGGATGCAATGAAGGATGAGTTTTACTACCAACTGAGCGATCTCTTGAAACAGGCGGGTCGGAGGGATATCGTAGTGCTGGCTGGGGACTTGAATGCACAGGTCGGGCGTCTAAGCTCAGAGGAGAATCGTCTAGGTGGTCAGTGGGGACTACATGGTCGCAGGTCAGATAATGGGGACCGTCTTCTGCAGCTTTGCGCGGATCACAACCTATTTCTAGCTAGCACCAACTTCCGGCACAGCCATCGCCGTAGCGCTACCTGGCGTCCTCCCTCTGCGAAGCAAGCTTGGACTCAGATTGATCATATCGCGGTCAGTTTCCGGTGGCGAGGATGCATACAAGACTGTCGCTCCTTCTGGAGCACATGCCTGGACTCCGATCATGCGTTAGTGTGTGCCAAGTTCGTCTTGCGATTTGGTGGGGTTCGTAAAAGCCGTCGTCTAAGCGTTGATGTGAGCAAACTAGTAGCACCTGCTACTTCTTTGAAATATCAGAATGAGTTAAAAACAATGCTTGCCAGCAACCCCCCAAGTAGTATAGATGAACATTGGCTTCATGTGCAAGGTGCCATGCAAAAGGCGAGTGTAGCCGCTTGCGGCTTGAAAGAATGCTCCGCTAACAACCACTGGGTTTCTGCGAGTTCCTTGCAACTCATGGATGAACGCCGGTCCATTCCGGCTGGCAGCGAATACAACAATCAGCGAAAGGCGCTCACGCGCAAGATTAGACAGTGTTTACGTAAGGACCGCGAAGCCTGGTGGTCAGAACGTGCGTGTGAGATGGAGTCAGCTGCTGCATCTGGCAACAGTCGGAAGCTGTTCCAACTCATACGAGCCACCGGCAGCAAGAAACAAGGTGTCAGCGAGACGGTCTGTGAGGCAGATGGCACTCCAATTACCAGCCTGAAAAGACGCCTGGAACGCTGGGCAGAGCACTTCGGGAAGCAGTTCAGCTGGCCACCAGCTTCAGTGTCTACTATCATTAGCCCTTGGTCGGTTAGTACCGACCCACCCACCGAAGCGGAGGTCCGTAAGGAACTCCAAGTTCTGAAACGCCATAAGGCGCCCGGCCCAGACAAATTACCCCCGGCTCTTTTTAAAGATGGTGGCGAGACTCTCACAATGGCTCTAACTGGGTTGTTCAGGAAGGTGTGGGAGACAGAGAGTGTACCATCAATGTGGAACGAAGCCATTATCGTCCCCATCTTTAAAAAGGGTCGACGTAATTCGTGTGACAATCATAGGGGTATCAGTCTGTTACCAGTCGCGTCTAAAATATTGGCTGCTGTCTTGCTTCGCAGACTGTGCAAAATACGTGAAGGATTGATTCGCGAAGAGCAGGCTGGGTTTCGTTCAGGTCGTGGATGCATTGATCATGTGTTCACCCTTCGTCAGTTGTTGGAACACCGCCACACGTATTGCAGGCCAACGATCGTTGTGTTTCTTGATATTAGGGCTGCCTTCGATTCGTTGGACAGAACTGTGCTCTGGAACTGTCTGTTAGAGAGAGGTGTACCTGAGAAATTTGTTAACATCTGAAAGCCCTATACAGAAACACCTCAGGTAGAGTGAGGGCATACAACCAACTATCACCACTGTTCCCAACCAACAGTGGGGTTAGACAGGGTTGCCCAATCTCTCCATTTCTCTTTAACTTTGCCATCGATGACATTCTGGAGTCAGCTCTGAAGGATGTGCGTGAAGGTGGTGTAGATCTGCTACCTGGAGATAGACTTTTCGACCTCGAGTATGCAGACGATATCGTCTTACTGTGCGATAGCATGCAGGCTGCCCAAATCGCACTTAATCAGTTGGCGATCAGTGTCTGTAAGTATGGTATGTGCTTTGCGCCGTCTAAGTGCAAAGTACTGTTACAAGATTGGCAGGAGCCTGTACCTGCACTCACTCTTGCGGGTGAACCGCTTGAAGTTGTTGATAAGTTTGTGTACCTGGGTAGTTGTGTGAGTGCTGGCGGAGGGGTGACGGATGAGATTTCCAACCGTATAATGAAGGCTAGGGTGGCATACATCAACTTGAGCCACCTCTGGCGCCGTCGCGACGTTAGCCTGGCTGTCAAAGGTCGGGTATACAATGCTTCGGTGCGGGCTGCGCTGCTCTACGCCTGTGAAACCTGGCCTCTCCGAGCTGAGGATGTGCGGCGACTCTGCGTGTTCGATCACCGCTGTCTCCGCAGGATTGCTTGCGTTCGATGGCATCATCGCGTGAGTAATTCTGAGGTTCGGCGGCGTGTGTTTGAACACAGTGGAGATCACCATTCATTGAATGTCGTCATCTGGAAACACCGGCTCCGGTGGCTTGGACATGTGCTGCGAATGTCACCCCAGAGGCTTCCGTACAGGTCTCTGTTTGCTAGGGGTGGAAAAGGCGGAGAGGTGGTCAGTCCATGACGTGGCGTCGTGGGATGAAGGATTTTTGTGCTAGATTAGCATCGGTTGGTGTGTCACGACTCCCTGGTTGGGGTCCGAGAGATAGCTCGAATCGATGGCTCGAAACGTTATCTGATATGGCCAAGAATCGTAATCAGTGGCGAACGTGTTGCGATTTCCTTCTTTCTTCCCTTCCTGATGATAGTTAACGAATACTGTTTGAACGTGTTAAGCATGATTGTTTTCCTTCCACATGCTTGA